AGTGGTGGAGATCACTTCATTAAATCTTGATTGGAGTTCAGATGTTGCCACAGTAATGAGTGACCCTCCCAAATGTCCCAAACCCAGGACCCTGATAACAGCACAATGGAGGGGTAAAACACAACTATAAATCTATAAAACTTCTCTTAACAATATATACATGATATTTGCCTTTTAATTGTGGGAGTCAACCATCACATTACTCATCTGTCACACTGGGTTTGACCAATTCCCATTTCTTCACCCAGAGCAGCAGGAGCTGGTGGTCCCCAGCACCCCATCCTTTCTGGGGACACACAGGGCTTGGCTGGTGCCTCCTTTCCTTGTTTTCCTGCTGAAAAATCCCGTTGGAGCAGGGCTGGCTGGGGACTGGGAATCCCATTCCCAGCTGCAATCTCTTAAGGGATCCAATCCCCCCCAAGCTCCAGCTGCTCCCAGCCCTCTCCTTCTGCAGAGGGCTGGAGCAGAGCAGGAATGATGGGGAAGGAGGCCCTTTGCAGGGAAATCCTCTGCTCCCAGCCCTGCCTGCATCCCTCCTGGGCTCCACGACTCATCCAAAGGTCAGGAATTGTGCTGGGGCTCTGCCAGCTGGGAGGGATCCAGTGGAAGCCGAGGCACTGCCCAAATCCTGCTCCCCTGAGCCGAGTCTTGCAAAGCTGGGCTTTGTGAGCTCCCCGAGAGTCATCCTGGAATTGCTCAGCTTCTCCTCGGAGCTTTCCAGCAAGGATGGGAGAGGAAGAGGGAGCTGTGCAGCATTCCTGCTCCTTCCAGGGCCAGGCAGAATTAAGGCAATTAAAAGCAGTTTATTTATATTTATGGAAAGACCTTCAGGTACACTTAGGGCAGATGTAGTCCCCCAGAGGTTACTCCCAAAATGGATGATGGGTCATGGCTTTTCACACTTTTATAATTTTGGTCCATTTGTATATTGGGGGTTAATCTTCCAATTCCAGCTTCAGGTAATGAAGTCATTTACCCCAAGTTTGCTCCCCCCAAATCACTTTTGTTCCCATCTCTCAGGGCCTGAGGCAGTGAGGTGTCCTTGATTCCCAGGCCTGGAAAGGAATTTTTGTGTCTGACCAAAATGGGAGAACAGCAGCTGACACTGAATATGGAATTTAGAGCCATGCACTAAAGAACTGCAGGGATACAAATATATAAAAACATAACAGCTAAAATCCTGAGGGACCCATTTAGGTGCTGCCCACAGCATTTTTGCTGTGTGTCACCCAGAATTCTCTCCCTGCAGGAGCTGTAGAGGTGTAAGATCGTGGCAGCGGGAACAACTTCATGGATATTCCCATCTGGGTGGCTGATGGATCTGTAGGAGCTCAGCTGAGGGCTCCTCACCAGCATTTATCAGCTCAGTGCTCAAGAAAAGCTTTTTTCCTGTCAGCAGCATCAGCTGGAAAGGCTGGACTCTGTATGTGTGTGGTCTGTCCCATCTCCCCAGCTCTGTGATGCAGTTTTCCTCACAGAGTTTGAAAACCAGATAAAAAAAATGCACATTCCCACCCCCTGTGTGATGTTAGAGGAGCCGCATCTTGTGTGATGCTTTTCCTGTGTGTTATTTCAGGAGAATTTCCTGCTGGGATTGGGCTCTGGTGGTGAGAAAATGCAATTTTTGGGCTCGGCTGTTGTCCTTTCCATGGAAAGGGCACTCGAGGTTTCTCAAAACCCAACCCTGTGGGATTCAGGCCCTGCAGGTTGAGGCTCCCCTGCCCTCTGACCACAAAAAATCAGCTTTATATTGACCTTCCATGAGTGATGCGAGGGAGATGTGACAGAAAGAGCTTTTGGCCTGGATTTTGATGCTGTGGGAAGTGTTTCACCCCTGGCAGCAGCAGGATCTGCCCAGAGGGGTTTGTGGCTTTTTTTCCATCATTCCTGAGGGTGCTGATGGTGCAGGGCAGAGATGTTATCCCCAGGCAGAGGGAGCATCCCACAGGAATTCTCGGCACCATCCCTCCCCCAGGCTAATCCCTGGGGGTCTCCCCATTCCCCAGCGAGGTTCAAACCTTGTCAGCACCAGCTGGGCTGGTTTTTAAGGTGATTTTTAAGGTGATTTTTAAGCTGATTCATTTTCCAAACAAGGGTATGCATCAGCTCCAATTATTTCCTGATAGACTCAGATCAGGAAAAGCTTTTGTTTGGAGCCCTTGGCACAGCACCAGCAGAGTCCCTTCTCCTGCACACGAGTTTTGGGCCTGCTCTGGGGAGGAATTGCAGAGGTTTGGGTAAAAACCTAAAAAATTGAGGTTGCTGAAGCACAGAGTTTGTGTCTCACCCATGGGAATGGGATGTGCAGAAGGAAGGAGCCCATCCTGTGCCCTTGGGGGGGCTCTGAAATGAGAATTTTTTTTTTTTTTTTAATCTACAGAGTTGATGTGTGCAGGAATTATGTGCTCTAAATCATTTCTTAAACCCCCCCAAAATAGAAATATCCCAGGACCTGCAGGTCTTGGGAGTTGACCTGCAAGAAAAAGGGCTGAAGGGGTCGGGATGGCCGTGGAAGGATGAACTGGATGTGGAGAAAAGATTAAAATATTCCTTGTCCTGCTCCTGTACCAGCACGGATGGGCTGGGTTTGCTTGAGCTGAACTCCTTTGGGCTGAATTATTCCAGAATTGGTTTGATGGGAAGTTCAGGCCTGAGCTTCCCTTGGCCATCTGGAGGTCTGGGAGCTGCTAGAGGGAAAAAAAAACTCATCAAAAAACCTCAAAGAAAAACCTCATTGGAGAGGCAAGATGGCCATGACACACCTGAACCAGCAAAAATTTGTGGTTTTTTTTTTTTTGGGGGGGGGGGGGGGTTGGTGTTTTGGTTTTTTTTTACTTTCTCAGCTTTTTCTCCACGTTCCTCTTGTGAATCATTTCACTTCCCCAACAGTTCAGCTGGGATAACGCTGGAGACAGCCTGAATTGTCTTTTTCCAGGCTTATTTTGGAGGAAATTTGCAGCACAAAATGCCATCACTGTGTCCTTCCCCCTCACGATTTTAGCACTTTGTTTCCTTTTCAACTCCATTTTTTTTCCAGGGAGGCCTTGGAGCTGGAAATCCCCACTCATCCCTGAGGGTGGACTCTGCTATTTCAGAGGCTGCTGCTATGCTTAAAAATTAAAAAAAAAAAAAAAAAAACCCAGAAAAGCACCATTAATTGAAAGCTGCTGGCACCTGGCAGGTTAAAAAAAATAATAATAATAAAAAAAAATATATATAGGGAGGTGTAAAAATCTGTGGTGTTTTCTTCTCATGTTGGGGCGGGTGCTTCCACAGCCAGGAAGGTGTTGCTGGCAGTGTTGCCTTCCCCAAATGTTTTGAGGCTCTATTTAAGGAACTGCCTGCTTTCCCAGCCTTTCCAGTGGGAAACATGAGGTAAAATCTTGCTTTTCTTCCTTTTCTCAGTGCTCATTGCACAGGCTGAGCCTCTCGGGGTTCATCCTGGTTTTTGCCACAGTGGGAGAGGAGCTGTGGGAATGCCATTTGTGGGGTGAAAACCCTGATTTTGGGTTGGTGAAGGAGGTGTTGAAAAGCAGGGGTTTAAACGTGCTCCTATAAACCCAAATTTCCTGGGAATTGGAGGCTCACGGAGGGGGGGAAGTGGCTCCTGGCTGAAATCCCCTGGCACTGCCTGCCCTCAGTGCAGGTGGAGCTGGGCAAGCACCACCCTGGAATTATCAGGGAAAAATCAGCTGGAAAATCAGTGATTCATGGGAAGCACAGTGATACACCTGGGCAGAAACCCTCCCTGATTTATATCAAGGCTTCCTTTTTAGAGTGGAGTCAAAACCTACAAATCCCAGCTGATATTTCTGCCCCAGCCACCTGCAGAGATGTCCTGGCTTTGTGGTTGTTGTGGGTTTTTTTGTTTGTTTGTTTGTTTGTTTGTTTTTTACCCTGAGAAAACCTGCTGTAATTGTTTCCCTGTACTCCCCCAAGTGATTAGTCAAAATCCCAATTGCTCCCTGGTAATTCAATATTTATGATGTCTTTATAAGGCCGGTCCCGCTCCGCTGATGCAGAAGTGAGGGGGGGAATAAATTGCATAAATTTCATAAATTAGGGGGCAAAAGCTGAGCTCTCAAGGAGGATGGCAAGGCAGCAATAATTGGCTAGCCAGGCAGAGAAGATGCAGCACCTTCCTCAGGATTTTCCCAGAAAATCCAGAGCCATCCCTGTGGCTGAGCAGCCCAGGCTGACTGTTTATCGTAGGGTTTCCTCTTTAATCCTTCCCTAATGATGCAGCAGGTTGATAAAACCAGGCAGACAGCACAAATTGTCGCTTTTTTGATCTTTTTTTTTTGTCATTATTGATCTTTCAGTCAGGTTCCTCTCTGCCTGTGACCTTTCAGAGAGCAAGAGAGGCGCTGCAGGATGGGTGGTTGGAATTATTGGATGGCAGATCATGTTTATGAAAACCCTGAAACATGATGGAACAGTCTGGATCCTGAGGATTGGGTTTTAGTTTATTTTTAGGACCCAAAATTTCTAGACCCAAATCCTTAGAAACTTTCAGAGTTCACCTTTTCCAAGCCAGTATCCCTTGGGGTAGAAATCCGAGCTAAAATTGAGAAGACACCATGCTTCTTCATGTTTTTATTTATCCTAGCAATTAAATGTTGTGAGATTTTCTCGTTTCAAGACTCCATCAGCTCACCAAGCCTTTGGGAAGCAGTTTTTGGTGCTAGTGAATGGTTAATTGAACCAAATTTAATCAATCTCTGCCAAATTTTAGTGCTGGAAGCTGTTAGAAGCTGTTGCGTCGTGTCGGATGGTTAACGGTGGAATAAAAACGACAAAATAATAAGAGCAACAATAAAATAAGAAGAAGTCCTGAAGAATGTTAGCAATCAGAGAGGTTTTTTTTTTCCCCTTCCTAGGCAGTTTTAACTCCAGGCTTTGCAGCTCCCAGCTGGAGCCACGCTGGGCTCGGAGCACGCCGTGGGTGTGGTGCCAAAGCTGCAGAGCCCTCAGCCCGTGTCCTTGGCGTGTTTTTGCAGGAAGGAGACTCCCTGGGAGCCATGGAGAAGCTCTGCAGGCAGCTCACCTACCACCTGAGCCCCCACTCGCAGTGGAGACGCCAGGGCATCATGAAGAGGAAGCCGCAGTCCTGGTGAGTCCCTGCTGGGTCACTGTCCCCAGGCTGGCCCTGCCATCCCTCAGGGCCACCACGGGGCTGGGGACGGTGGGGAGGGGGTTTTCCATGATGGTTTTGGCAAATGTGGGAGCTGCCCGTTGCTCTCTGCAGCCACAGGAGGAACAAACCCACCGGGATGAAGTGCTCAGAGCTGGGAGGGAGCTGGGGTGTCCCAGCCCCCAGAATCCTCCTTCCTCTCCAAGCTCACCGGCATTTCCCACATTTATGGTTCCTTCGTGCTCCCCCAGAGTTGCTTTCCTCTATTTCCATCTTCCTTTCCCTGTTGCAGAGGAGAGCATCACTTCAGTACCCAAGGAGGAGGAATGGTTTGGAAAACCTGAGCCATCCATCCTCCAAACATCCCTTGTCTCCCAGACTGCTCCAAGAGCTCCTAATTAGCTGGTAATTAATGTACAGGCACGTGTCACCGTGCACACCGTGGCTTGCAGTTTACACAGAAGGAATATTGTTGTTAAAAATAGGGAAAAAATAGCCCAAATCCCCTCCTCAGCAAAGCATTCCCATCTGGTGTCATCCTGGATCCACAGAGCTGAGAAACCTGTGGATGAGGCTGATGGGAATAGAAAGGGCTGCTTGTTTTCCTTATGTTGGGCATTATATATTTATTATTTTTGCTTAAGGAAGCGAGAAATAGAAGCAAAGCTGCAATCTGGGAGAGTCGGGATTTGTATCCAGGTGCTGGCTCATGATCCCAGGAGAGTTTTGGTTGTAATGGAGCTGTAGTGGGAATTAATCCCATGAAAAAAAACTGGGATAGGTAAGGAGAGGGGAGGAACGTGGTCACAGGAGGAAAAAAAGACACAAGGAAATAGAGGATTGCTCCTAAATAGGATTAGGAGCACATCCCCAGGAATCTGGTTTATCATCCTCACAAAGTGCTGTCCTGAGAGAGCAAAACGTGGAGAAATGCATTTCACAAGCAGCGTTGCCCACATTTTCGGTGGGTTTTAAGGCGTGTTGATGGCTAAAATCTGCAGTTTCCAGCAAAGCAGCAGAACCCGGGGGAGTTTGGCGCTCCCAGGCTGTGTCCTGCGGGCACACGGAGCTGTAATGACCCAGCAGCTCATTATCCTCCGGGGGTTTCCTCTTAATTAGAGTAGGAAACGCTCACCCCTTCTCACCCCATCAGGGCATTGTTCAAATCACGCTGCTGCTGCATCGGGGAGCTCTTCACAGCCCCCCCACAAACCGCAGGAAATCCTTGGAAATGAAAAAACTTGGAGCCCTGCTTGGTGCCCCTCTGTCCTTAATTACCAATCGCTGTCCCTAATCCCCAGCCCGGGGTCAGCAGCCTCGTGGCCGAGATTTGCAAAGCTTTATCTGCAGCTTTTCCTTGGAGCAGCCGGGAAATAGCTGAGGTTTTCCAGGGTTTTAGGAGCAGGGATGAGGTTTTGGGATGAGGTTTTGGCTGGCAGAGAGCCCTGACCACATGGAAGTGACCCAGTGCCAACGTGGGCTGCTGGTTGTGCCCCAGCCAGGCTTTGGAGGGTGGGATTTTCCTGGATTTCTGGTTTAGATGCTCTTTTAGGAGGCGGCTGTGAGTTGAACCCTTTGCTGGAAGGTGAAATCAGACTTTGTTTCAGGTCTAAATGCCATAAAACGGATATTTTATGGAGAGCATCCTGCTCTGGACCGGCGTTTCCAAGTGCCCCGTGCTGCTCCCATTCCCAGGTGTTGGCATTGCCCTGGCTCAGCCCTGCTGCCAGGTGCTGCAGGAACTCCCCAATATCTCAGATCCACCTTTTTTCATGTGTGTGTTGCAGGGAAAATCGCTTTCCTTCATCCCACCCCCACGTATCCATGGCAGGTGAGAATGGGAAGCAGAGCAGCAGGCGGAGGAGGATGGGCACAGAGGATGGAGCTGATTTTTGGCCGGGCAGAGGGAGAAGCTTCCTAATCCCAGCTCCTCCCAGGCTGGGTGTGCTCCCTAAATCCAGGCAGATATTCCCAGCCCTGGCACCGCAGCACCCAAATATCTGCCAAATGACCTTATTTTTTTGGCAAGTTGATAAATCTGTCTGGATCTCCCTCGCTGTCTCCACACCTCCCTCGGAATTCATTAAACATCCAGGGATGGAAATCGGGGAAAGCCAACAGCAGCAGGATGAAGGCAGCCTGCTAAAGTCATTTCCCTGCGCCTGGCTCTGCCTGGGGTCACAATTCCAGCCCTGGAATCTCCCCACTCCTGCTGCTGCCAGCATCACAAAGGCAAAAAAAAAAAAAAAAAAAAAAAAAGGAATCAAAGCTCCTGAGAGGGAGGAGGTGTTTCCCAGGGGAAACATCCCTGGGATATCTCAGTCCTCTCCCTGTTGTGGTAGGAATGAGCCAGGAATGCAGCAGGGAGGATGGGGCAGCAGGCACCAGCTGAAGGAATATCAAATATTCACGTCGGAGCTCCAAATTTACATCAGACAAACCTTTTTTTTTTTTTTTAAACACACAATCCTTGTTAGTGACCCTGCACGAAGCAGGGGAAGAATTTAGAGTGAGGCAGCTCAGTTTAAATGGAATTAAATGGGGTCAATCTGGACCTAAATTTGTCGATTTTTTTGCTCTGCTGCTGCTCAGAGAAACCCCCAAGTGTCCACACCAGACTGACCCAATGTGGCATTTTCTGCACTTTCTAATCCCATTTTTTGTTTTACAGCTCGCAGCCCTCCCTCACACAAATCCCCAAATGCTGGCCTCTGGAAAGAGCCAGGAGTTGATTCTTTTCTCACTTCTGAGTTTTCCAGGGGGTTTTCCTGAGATCCAGCCCATTCTTTTCTTTGTACTTGTCCTTTCTGCTGGTGACACCTGGGATTCAGGCAGAATTCCTTTCACCCTCTGATGTGAAATCATTAGATATCACATTGAAAGTAGAAGGAAAATTAATAATTTGGAAATGTGGAGGCCTTGTGAGGCTGTGGCAGATTTAACCCTTGGCTACCTGAAGGTTGGATGTTCTCCACAGCATTTAACATCCACAGGCAGAGACCTGTTAGAACGGGAGGTGTTTGGATTTAATGATGACTTTTCAGAGGCTGAGCAGCCTTATTTTGATGGCAGGAATGATATTTTAGCATCCCACTCCTGATTTCATCCAGGGCACAAAACATTTCTGTCCTGCAGGAATGCTGGGTGCAGGGCTTTCATGTTGGCAGTGCCTGCTTGCATTGCTTTACAAAGAAAAAAAAAAAATAAATCATTTAAACATGAGTTTTCATGGTGGGAGAAGCCCTTTGGAGAACAGAAAGGGAATGTTTGTGGCTGGAAATCCTCCTCTGCTCTGGCAGCTGGTGGGCGAGCGAGAGAAGTCGCAGCTCCTGCAACAAATGGTCCCTTCAGAGCATCCAGCACAAACCCAGGGGGTGGGAGGAGGCTGGAGCAGGGTCTCCTGGCCATTAAAATCCCATTTCTGTGTGTGTGTGTGCTGGAGCTGCTGCAGGAGAGCAGGGAACGTGGGAGCTGGACCTTTGGGATGTGTGTGGGCGATCCCTTCTCCCTGTGCCCATGGGATGCCATTCCATGGACATTCCATGGCTGTCCCAGGGAGCTGAGGATGCTCCAGATGCTCAGAACTCGGGTGGTTTGGGCTGGTGCTGTAGTTTTCCACCTATTGCAGTGGGAAACGGGTGATTCCCAAACCTCTCTGCTCTTCCCAGCGTGGCCCGAGGCTCTGGGGGTGGAGGAAAGCAAAGCTCTGGTTCCTTTTCAGGTTGGGCAGTGGGGTTGGGATGCTCAGCCCGGGCTCAGGGGTGGGTCCTGCATCCCTCGGGAGGAGGTGGGTGAGGCTCAGAGCTGCCCCTGGCCAGGGTGGATCTGCTGATTTTTGCTGGCTCTGCACCCTGTGTGGTCACTGAGCCCAGGATCTTCATCCTCTGGGGAGAAATTCCTGGTTTGGTGGCTCAGTTCATTCCCAGGATGGGCACCAAATTCCAGCTCCTGTCTGGTTGGTGAAAGAGCTGTTCCCACTCTGTGTTCTGCACCACAGAAAGATTTGTGCTTAATTACTCTGTTATTCCTCTTAATTGCCCTGAGAATGCCACCTCTGAGCATGTCCTACCCCACTTTTGTGATTGAGGGGAATTCAGATTTAATCTCTGTTTGCGCCTGAAGTTCAGCATTTAAATCCCAGCCTGGCCAAGGTGGATGAGGCTTTTCTCTGGAAATACTGAATGGCCACCAAAAGGTGTCTGGTGCAAGGTGTCTGATGTGTGGCTGTCCCTTGTCACCAGCTTGGCTGTGCTGGAGGGAGTCCCCAGGCAGCAGAGCTATTTGGGAGATAAATCCCTTTGGACAACTGGGAATGGGGAGGGGTAACCACAGGCACCGAGTAATCCTCTCTAATAAATGTCTTAATGTGATGGGAAGGCCTGACGTGACACAGAAATGAGCTCAGATTTTTGGGAGAGAGAGTGGAAAACCTTTGGGAGACACCTTTGGTTTGGTGGAGTTCACACAGGGCTCAGCCAGCTTAATAAATTCGGAATATTTTTTGTGCTTTGGCAGAAATGTTTGGGAATTTGTGGTGCTGAAGAGCACGAGGGGGCTGGTCCCAGCAGGGCTGTGGGATTTGACTTTTCCCCACACAACAAATGAGGAACTTTAATGGGGTTCAGGGCACACAAAGAGGAAAAAAATGAACTTTTTGAGGTACCAGTAAGGAGTTAGGAGAAAAAGTTGGATGTAATTTTATCCCAGAAATGCCCTTTTCATCACCTCTGTCCTGCTCACCTCGCTCTCCCCCATGGCCATGGGGCATTTCCTCCATCTGCCCATTTTGGATTTTTATAGCTACTCAAGATGTGACTTTTCTCTTATGGCTGGGCTGGGGACAAACCCTGATGTGCCCTGTCAGTTGTTCTGTTCCTCACCCTGCTGCCCCTTGAGTTTATTCCCTTTGGCACACGCCTGGCTGCAGGCACAGTCCCTGCTGTGTCTCCTCTCTGATGGCCTGGGTGACTTCCAAGCTG